AAAAAAAAAATAGCATGTGGGGGCCCTCCCTGGAGCACAACTGTCTAAAGCACAGCACTGCAAGCTGGCTGCTCAAGTTCAATCCCTGGCCAGGGCAGTGACCCACATGGCACAGAAGATCTGTGCCATGCTCAAGACCTCGCCTGCTCACCTTAGCAGTATATTTCATTGGATCTGCCTGTTCTGCTCTCCACTCTGTCTCTGGTAAATCCCCTCACCACCCTTGTACCTATGGCTGTACCCCAGTTCTGTATGCATAAATAAATAATTTTTTTAAAGTAGCATGTGGAGGAACAGAAAAAAAAATCTAATTAATACTGACTCAGGAACTCAACCACATAGAAGATAAGAAGTTGATGGTTGCCTTGAAGAACAAAAAGAGTTTCAGATCTTTAAATGGAAATTGATTCTATCTGTGTATTTAAATACAGCCAAAGTCTACTCACTTTGCCCCTTTTATAGTAAACAAATTTCTGTTAAAATAATTTTAATGACCTTTAGATCAACTAATTGTTGTATGATCACTTTTGCGGTGTACCCATTTCTTATCTTACTATGGCAAATAAAACTAATTCCAGGTCTAAGATTCTAAACAATCTCACTAATTTTATCTCTAACTTAATTAACATAAACTATTCTACCAATTAATCTGCTTAATATCAATCATTCTTTATCTCCTGCACTACTTTAATATCCCTAAGAAATATTAATTCTACTTTTTAAACATTTCTTTGTCACATTTATCTGGGTGAAATTAATAAACTACAAATAAGAACTTCAGGGTGAACACATTTATAAATTTTCAAAATTAGAAATATGAAAGCTAATACTTCCAGGTAATAAATCCATCACCAAGAAGAAAGGAAGAAAACCCAGTTACGGTATATCACCACAAGCTGTTTCCATTAAAAGTCAGAGTTCCCATAATGTAGAGATTTTAGCTTGAATTTTCATTATCAGGACTTATATCCTCCTTTCATTCATACTAAATAGCTCAAGGTTTCAAACTAATATGTCTCATCCATTTAAGTAATTTTTTTTACTTACAATAACAAATAATTGTCAAGAAGAGGTGACATTAAAACCTGTAGTGTAGGGTCCTCCCTGGTGGCGCAGCGGGTTAAAGTACAG